CCCCGGAGGTTCCGGCGTCTCCGCAAAGCTATCCCTCCCTGCGCGACCCGCGGCGAGGCGCAGAACCGCGGCGCCGGGCCACGGCCCCTGGCGGGCGGCTTCGTCTGCGATGGGCTCGGCTGTGCCATCCGGACCGAGTGGCCTCCCCCCTCATCCGCCCAAACCTGTGTATGGACAAAGGCTGCCGCAGCAAGTAAAATAAAACTCGGGCCCTTGCACGTCGAGCAGGTCACGGGTGGGAGAAAATGGAGGTGTCCTCACCGTGCCGAGGCCCTGGGCTCGGCTCCCGGGCCCCAGCACGAGGCTGCCCCTGACCGCCGAGTGGGGCCGCACGGAGCCGCCGAGGAGGGTTGGAGCTGGAGGACTGTCGGGGCGCCGCGTCCGGCCCTGCTGAGCCCTGCGCCTGGGATGCAGGAGGTGCAGGTCCGAGGGTGGGCGGTGAGAGGGGAGGCCACCGACCTGCACCGCCGGAAGAGGCAGCCGGGCCTCGAGGGACAAAAACTTCCCGGCCACCTGCAGAATGAGGATTATATGGGAAAGTGTCTCCCGCGCAGTGCCCTGAGAAGGGGTCCCTTCCACTTGTCCCCTGGGGAACACTCCTCCGTGGTACCAATTCCAACACCCGAGTACCCTACCCTGAAGAGTAGGAGACAAAACCACATAGTCCTGTATCACACTGGACATGAACAAATGTCCTTTTAATAAATTAAATTTCTGTTTAAATCGTTCAGAGGTTTGTGTCTTATTGCTTGCCAGTCAAGAGATGGAAAGATAAGAGGTTATGTAATATTTGTAATATTATTTAAATGGTACCAGTTTAAACTTTTAAATGTTATGTTGTAGATGTTCACATAACCAAAAGTCTGTAAGCAAAAAAATTTTACCAAGGGTTATCTCTGGAATTTTACTATCTTCTTTTGTGCTTGTTGACATCTTCCAAGTTTTCTAAAATAAAAGTAAAGTTACTATTTTTAAAGTACTTTTATAATATTTTGAAGCAAAGTCAAATGATTAGCCTGTTAATGTTCCACAAGGAAACCTCACTTTGAAATAACAATGAAGTCTTTTAAAAATACTATATAAAAAATGCTTTATCTTGGGAGAAAAGATTTGTGAACCATATATCTGATAAAGGACTTATGTCCAGAATATATAAAGAACTCTTAAAATGCAATGTTAAGACTAATAATCCAATTTAAAATGGGCAAAAGAATTGAATAGACATTTTACCAAAGATATTTAAATGATCAATAAATACATGAAAAGATGTTCAACGTCATTAGTCACTAGGGAAATGCAAATTTAGACCACAATGGGAAAGCTCTTGATGCACATTGCAATGGCTGTAATTAAAGACAGACAACAAGTGCTGATGGGGAGATAGAGAAACTAGAATCCTCATACATTGCTTGTGGAAATGTAAAATGGTGCAGCCACTTTGGAAAACAGTTTGTGAAGTTCTTAAAAAGTTATACTTAAAAGTACCATATGACCCAATAATTCCACTCCTAAGTGTATATACACAAGAGGACTGAAAATATTTCTGTACCATTATGTAGCCCAGGATAATAGTACCTTATTTTTAGTATGATTGCAACAAGTTTTTGCAATAAAAAAAAAAATTTTTTTTTAAAACAAATGGAAAAGTGTGTGGTGTTCGCATTCTACAGTGTAATAAAATATACTTCTTGCAACCGGTTGTTTAACCAAGCACAATTACCTTTCAACACCCCAGTCAACTCGCTCATATTCATTCAAAAATGTATCTTCACTTTTACCCACTAAAAGAACAGGAAATGGGGTAGAAAAAGGTAAGCATGTTTGAGAACAGGAAGGAACTGGATCCCTTACAGCAAGATCAAGGTATGCCAACAAGGAAGGGGTGAAAGGGCACAGGTCAGGGAATCCAAACTAAGGACACTGACATCTTTCCGAATGTTATTCTTGTTTCCCTTTGGCTGTGTGCCCCAGGACTCACAAGTGATGGGTTCTCACTTCAAAATATTTTGCTTCCTCCAGTTATTCAAATATATGCCTCTGGGAGAGCACTGCCTTTGAGCTGGATAATAGTATGATTCAGGATTTTTTTTTCGTGATTTAAAATTTTTTTTTAATGATTTCTGTGATCTTACCATAGAAGAAACTATTCCCTAGAAGATTAATTAGTGGATACATATTGAAATTGAATGATCTCACCTGAAGTAGTCTATCTGCGGACATTCCCTCCCCATGGCCCCCCCCCCACGCCCCCAGCACACCAGTGGTGCTGCTCCTTTGAGGAAATCATTAACTCACTGCATTGTTTCTAAGGCCTTCTTTAAAATGATTGTTTTCTGAATGATGCTGATATTCATTCAACTTGTGAATAAGGCCTAGTTGTTTGTTCCCAATTAGCTAGAAAGCAAGGGAATGGCACCTAGGATGGATTCATTTTCACAGAGAGATTGAGAAATTGCCTGAAGCAGAGTAAACTGCCCAAGAATAATTGACCCATGTGGTAGGAGGCAGGGGCAAAGAGAGGTTGGTTATAGAGAATTGTGTGTCATGCACCCACAATGGATGGATGAAAGAGGAACAGGCCCACACAGGTATCAAGTGACATGAAGCATGTGGCATCATGCAGAATGCATAAATACTATCATTTTATTATTTTTTGCTTCTTGATTTTCCTTTTTCCAAACAAAGTCCTGGCAGCTCTGCCTTGTGGCTGCAGACTTGTTACTGGAAAATGGGGGGATCTGTCCCTCAGCACAACCAAGACCAGTGTAGGAGGACAAGGCTTTATTACTTGCAAGTAGGGAGAACACTGGGGACAGCTCCCAAAGCAGTGTCTCCCAGAACAAGGGAAAAGGTTGTCTTACATAGCCAAAGTTTCTGCCTAATTTCCTACCCATGTTCTCATTTAGGTCCTCTCGTGTAAATGAAGGATACAAGCTTGTTCAATTTGGATTGACTGACTATGGGACATAATTCTCTGGTCAGTTCTGAAGCCAAATTTATATTTGGACCCAGGAAGGAATGTGGCCTTTGGCAACAGAAGGACCTCAGGAAGTTGTCACATGGACTAAACCTTGAGCCCTAGGCTAGTGCAGGTTACAGTCCATAGGTGGCAAATTGAGACTTTCTACTGTCGTTGATTCATGACATAAAACGGGGCCAGATAGGTGTGGAGATCCCAGCTCCTCCTCAGGCAGAGATTTGCCAAAGTTCATCTCTGGGGTTCTTATTCAGTTTCAGTTGATATATTTTAAGAGCAGTCTAGTATTTCATGGTTCATGACTTCCTGCCACCTCCTGTAAGAACAGAAACTCAGAACAAAGGGTTATGACCAGTTCACTTCCTGTTTCGGACCTTATAGCGGGGGCGAGCACCTGGGTGTTTAGGAGACCCCGGACCCTAGGTTACAGCCTCAGGAACGTGTGTGCCCTTCTTCCTTCATCGCTGCCCTGCTCACAGCACATCATCACTGTCATGACCACTGAACAGCTCTGAAGCCCAGGAACAAGAGGTGACAAATTGCATGGAGACAGGAACTCTGGTCCGTTCATCCATTGAGTGGTAATCATGTATAAGGTTAGGCAGTGAGCGCGGTCCTGGGCAGATGAAGGCAGAATCACAATCAGTCAGGTCTCCAAAGCCTTGGATCTGGTGATCAGAGCAGTACATTTTAGGCATTTGTGGGAGGAGGGACAGGTAACTGTGACTAATAGTTGTAGCACTGTACTAGATTGCTGTATCCCAAAACCCCCAAGTCCTGGAGGCTTAAAATTACACAAATTTTCTGACCCCCCTCGAGCATCACTGGGGGCTTTGTACATCACAGTGAGTCCATGCCAAAGGAGAATCCATAACAACACATGGCTCCTCATTGGTTGAGCCATCCGGAGGACTCACGGTGGATTGTATGAGGTCTTTCCTCCCCAAGTGGCTCTTTTATGCATGTATTTCGATGGCCAAATCAAATCACGTGGCTATATCTAATTTGTAAGGAGGCAGGGAAATGGAATCAATCCCAGCATGTCCTTAGAAAGCAGAGAGCTGGGAACATTTGGATTACATTAATGACGATCAAAACTGTCAAAATTAGAAGATAACTTTTAAAAAGCTTTTACTTTGAAATAATTATAGAATCACAGGAACTTTGGAAAATTGAACAAGAGGTTCTTTCAGTACCCTTCATCCAGTTTCTCCCAATGGTTACATCTTACATAACTATAATATAATATCAAAATCAGGAAATTGACATTGGTACAATAGGTGTATATAGTTCTGTGCCATTTTACCACATGTGTAGATTCCTGTAACTACCACCAGAATCAAGATACAGAAGTATTGCATCACCACAAAATCTCCCTCGTGCTACCCCTTCATAGTCACACCCACTCCCTCCCCTCCCACACTGTCTCTAACCCCTGGTAACCACTAATCTGTTCTCCATCTCTATAATTTTGTCATTCTGAGAATGTTATATAAATGGAGTCATAAAGTATGTGACCTTTTGAGACTGGTTTCTTTTACTCAGCATAATGCCATTGCGTGTAGTTGGGTCATGCTTTTTGTTTGTTTGCTTTTATGTTATCCACTCTGTCAACTGGGCAGGGATGAAAGTTCTGGCTCTCCACTTGGTCTTCTCTGACACCACCCCTGCCATGGAGGCTATGGGGGAAGCCTTGATATAACAGTGTGAAGGTGGAAGTCTAGGCTCTGTATTCAGCCTTTGCTGAATGGCATAGAGGTGAGGTCATATTTTGTTTCTGCAGTGTTTGGCTAGAATAGAGAAGTTATTTAAAAGTTTTCTGTTTTGCTAGGTTGACCCTTTTCTGGTCCTTTGACTAGAGTGTGCAAGCATTTCTTGTTGTTTTGTTTTTGTTTTTTTGACAGCTGGCCAGTGGGGATCCCCTTGATGTTGGTGTTACGACACCACACTCTAACCAACCGAGCTAATTGGCCAATACCGTTTGTTTTTCAAATCTGCTTCTGTGGTATTCCTGGTGTGCCAGCTTCTCTAGCACTTAGTCCAGGATATATGAGGATAGATGAAAATCCAGGGAACACATGGCCCTGTCAGTCCTTGGATCCCAAGATCAATTGCCTATAGAGCCCTGTAGATCGCTAGTCAATTGCCTTCCTCTCTCCACCCTTCAGAGTCTCCTTCTGTTTGTTTTATATACAGTGCCCAGGGTGTTTAGCTGTTCTATTCCACCTTAGTCTGGAACCAGAAGTTGAGAATAAGTTTTTAAAACATAGAGCAGATTGCGGATTATTTCTATAAATATGTCACTTCCAGTTTCTCCCATTCCAATTGGCTTTCTTGAGCCAGAGAGAAAAGAGAAGATTTACTGCTGGTCTATTGGAAATTCCACACACATACACACTTTGGACATCAAATGAGCTATAATGTTTGTCATAGTGGAACAAATACTAGGAACTGCTAAATTGGAGACGCAGTTGGAGTCTGAAATCAGCAAGTATGGAGGAGGGGAAAAGCTGCAACAGCCAGTGAGAAGAGCAAGCCTGAGGCAGTGGAGGTGGAATGGGGCTTGCATTGAGAAGGCCCAGGATATACCCTTTGGACATGTTGCCAATGAAGGAAGAGAAGGTAGTGGGCAAAAATGAACCTAAGAAAGAGAAAATACAAAAAAGTCTTACAAGTCATTAATATGATTTTTTTTTTTAATTTTAAGGAAAGCAGGAGTCAGGAT